CTAATTATATTTTAGATTTTTTATATTTAAAATGAGATGTTTATCATGTATTTGATTGTGTTTATCTGCAGTTAGTTACACAAATTCAGATATGAGATGAAATTAGATAGGGATGAAATCGTTTAGAGATGAACGAGTTTAACAGTTTTTAAGAGTTTTAAGAGTTTTTAAGAGTTTTAGCCAAATGCTTTATAAGATAGTATAGATATATTATATAGGACTATGGTCAAATTAGGTTCCTACTTGAAAATAAGTTTCAGGTTGCAATGAAAAACCTGACTTTTATCCCTACTTTTATAACTGCAGCAATATTTGTAAGAACAAATGTATTGTCTATTTTAGAATTTGTATTTTTTTTCCAAATTTCAAGAATTGGGTTATTTGTTTGATAAATTATAAATTGAATTTTTTTCTTATGACGAATCATGAAGTAAGTTTGTTTGTTTCATTTTATTAATTTTGTGTTTTGAATTGCATCATGAATTGAGATTTGTTATTTTTTTTATATATCAATGATGAGTTGATACTTTTTGTTTATCTGTTGGGATTATTAACTAAGGCGCTGTTTGGTTCGTTTTCTGTTAAGACATGTATGGATATAGTTGTCTGTATATTAACAGGTAAGTTGCTGTTCGGTTGTTGTGCTGAATAAACAGTCTAAATGTCAGAAATAACCATTTTACCCTTCGGTCTATATCTTTTATCAATAATTATGTATTGTTTCCAATCTATCGATTTGTATCAAAAAACTTTCATTCATATCAAAATCCAACTCAAAATCAAAACCCTAAATTTGTATCAAAAAACTTTCCTTCGTATTTTCAATCTTCTATTCACATCTCCAATTTTTGTTTGAACCAGCCTTAACAAAAACCTCCATTCGTTGTAACTGTTTTCTCGACGATGGAGATGCACAAGTAGACACAGACCAACATTTTTTTATTTCCTTTTTGCAGTTCAAGGGAGAATAGATGTAGACCAGGTCGAAGTAGATCCATGGGGTGAGGAGAGACAGAGGTTCCCCATCCAATGATAGATGCACAAACGGAAGTTGCAGAAAGAGTGCGAGTAGAAGAGGGGCATAGGAGGGGAAGGGAGCGGTGATGGAAGTCTAGATTGGGGGGTTTTGCAGAATCGACATCATTTGTGATGCTTGAAGTTGAGTTCAGGCATTTGCCTAAAACTCTCTCATCTTTCTTCTGTTGGATCTTCACACGGTATTGTAATTTCAAAAACCACAAGGAGAAATTGAAAACCTAGAAGAAGAAACCATGGGAAGCAATCGGAAACTATAGGGAGAAATCAAAAACCTTTGTAAGAACAAACCATAAGAAGAAATCGAATCACAGGGAGAAAAGGTTATCAGCTAGAACTTGGAAGTGTGAATTGGATCAAGAAAAGACTGGTTGATTTCATATAAAGGGAGAAGAAGACGAAATAGGGGGAAGGGTAAAAAGAGATAAATGGATCAATAAAATGGCTGAATGTATATGACTCTACTTTTGTAGCTGAGCGATTCAGCCATAGACTGATTGAATAAGCTCATACCGAACAGTTAGATATGGCTTATACAACCCATCAAGCTGCAACTGAACAACGCCTAATTTTTTTTTTTTTTTTTGCATAGTGAAGCTTCTAATTATGTATTTATGTTATATTATTTGTTTATTATATTTAATTATAGTTATCTTAATTTAATTATAATTATCTTAATGAATGAAACTGATTGAAAATAATTTTTTTATAAAATTCTTTAAAATTATATATAATGATATACAAAAAAGTTTTAAAAATAATAGTCTCGTATATGACGACTTCCGCAAAACCTCTCATTGTGGATGGAAAAGGAAATTATGGTGCAAAAAAAGGTTATGAATGAAAATGTAAATTTAAAGGGGCAGAAATGTAAAAAATTGAGCTCAGAAGGGCCTATATTGTCAATCTTGAAAGTCAAGTCGAATTGATGGACCCAGCCATGAGTAGAGGCATTTAATCATAGCTCAAAAGGGTTGCACCAGCCGGGAATCGACTAGATCACTCAGGGCCGGTCCTAAAATTTTTGATGTCCCGTGCAAAAATAATAAAAAATGTCCTTAAGTTTATTTTTTTAAGCCAATGAAACAACGAAACATGCGATTTTTAAAGAGTTTGGAACATAGTCAAGCTAAGTGTCTTATCTCCATGTTGATTTACTCAAAAAGTTATAGGTCTAACAATTAAAGTCTTAGGGCCTATTTGTTAGCAGCTTAATAAGCTTAATGAGACTAACAACTTATTCACTCAACTATGCATGATTGTTTCGTAGTGACTTAATGATATAGAAAGTGACTTATTCAGTAAACTT